GTCTCACCTGATAAATGTACTGATGTATATTCTTTGACTGGGAATGGTAAAACTGCCACATATATAACAAAGTGAATCAGGCTGTTTAAGCACTTATAACGTGAACTAGCAGAGGCAGGCAGACATAAGGGAAGGTTTCAGTTCATATATAAATAAAAACTAAACACGGCTAACCTTGCATACAAATAAGAACTCGTACTCTATGTCAGAATGGGCTTCACTATATCAGAATGGCATACAACGTCTCACTGTAATATCTCAGGCGTAACTGAATTAGTCTAGACATGTATGTGCCTGGTGCTGGTCTCCTAAGGTGTCATTCATCCTGTGTGAATCAAAGGTTTTATGTTAGCCGATAGGACAGCAGTAGTACTTCATATGATTAACTCTAAAACACTCGAAATCAAAGTTAACAGAAATTTTGTTACAAAGTGTGTGTACTTACTTGAGTTACTTGAGTGTTTTTTAGACCAAAGGGGCTATTTGTTCAGAAGGGCTATTAATTTCGTTTTGGCATGTTGCGTCAGTGCACAATAAATGTCAATTCACTTTCAAATTGTTGCCACCAAATATTAGAGCTCTGCATTATATTTAAAGAAATTAAATAATTAAGAGTCTGCATGGATGTATGTACGTTTCTTGCACTGTGAAAAAACAACAGTACCTAGAGACATCAAATTCTGAATAATGTAGTCCTCCATTCAAATATGGGCATCTGGAAGACTAAATTTGGAAATTTGTTTTATTATCTATTTCATATTATGTCAAACAATAAGGAATTTTTAATTAACAAACTCAACGATTTCAATACAGTGAGCAATGGCAACACTGTATTGGGGAGGGGGGCATTTTTATCTCCAGCACATGAGACTGTGTATTGGAAGTTCTAAAGATATACACTTTTAAATATTTTTGTGATATTGCTGTTGAATTGAACTTTGTGGTTTAAGTGCGAAGAACATGATATTTGATAAGTAAAGGTACACACCTTAAAGAATGCCCTGTTTGGGTGTAATATTAAATGTTAAAGCTTTCAGATCTTTATTGTTTGAGTTGAAATTTTGAGTATTTTGTTATGGATGCTTGTTTTATGTAATTTTCCGTGTTGCATTATGAATGTTTCTTGTGTTTTTAATTTCATAAATTTGTTGTTGTTTTATGTAATTTTTAGTGCGCTGCCATTCCTTAAAATAACTATTGGTTATTGCATGTTGGCAAAAAATTAGTTGCTAACAATCATTGGTTTGATAATCAGGGATTATCTTTAAATTTCCTTTTGCAAAATCTTCAAAAGAAAGGGAAAGAAGTATCAATTCCATAGAAGTAAAGTAACATTTTACCTAACTCATATAGTCAGGAAAGTCATAACACAGTTTGGATGCATCAAGAATTTATTATATTGAGAGAAAAATTGCATCTGAAAGGGAGATTGTCAAAACTATTTAATTGAGCTGTTATTTGGGATGGGTAATTATGTTAAAGGTCTTCCTAGTTTTACATTATTACTGCATTAATATTTTAATACAAATAATTGCATTAATAATTTAATGCAAATTATGCATAAAATAGCAATTTTTAAAAGAGCATGAAATTATATGTCTTAATGAAACGTTTCAGAAATCATGTTCAATAAATACTGTTAACGTCAGGAATGTTTTGTAGACCAGTATATTTTATAAAATGGCAAAAATTTAATTAAGGTGTACTGAAAAATGTTCGTGAAGTTCCATGAAATTTTGGGTATTCACATTTTTGGTATTAGAAACTGTCAAGTACCTTTTGTATATAAATTGGCATAGTGAGTCAATTTAAAGTATTTCTCGGTTAATCTTTAGATTATGGTAACTTGGCAATTTTTTTGGCGAAAATTTGGCAACCATCCCTGCTACAGCAACCTGCTAGTTCTTTTTTTTGACGCCATTTTGTTTTCACGAAGTAAAGGCATGTTTCTTTTCTTTTCTTTTTTTTTTTTTTACTTAACTTTTTTCCCAACAATCTGCTAGCTGAATTACGTTTATGCTAGAACTTTTATGGAACAAAAATGCTTAATCATGACGAAGATTAGGTGCGAAATTGGGAGAAGGTGCAAAATCGCAAACTGCTTGCCACGTTTTTAAGAATTGCACATACATGGTATCCATGTACACGTCGACCTATTTTCACTTAAAAAAAACATCCCACAATTGCACAAAAATGGCATTGTGCACACTCTTCACTTTATCCATGTACACTGCTAAAGTCCTAGCTAGTAACCTTTATCGCCTTACCAAAATGTCGCCAAACTACCTTTTACCATATTCCAAAGATTAGCCTATTTCTCAATTTATTTTACAGTTTGTTATGTTTGTATGTAACATAATAAAATCACTTTTTAAAGTAAAAGACCTTTAATGGATGAAACTATACAATTTTAAATATTTGAAGATAACTGGGTTCTGTGTTCACTCATTCAGTGTTATTACTGTCAACAATTTTGCTTAAATGAAGTTTGGATTTTAGGGGTTTTGCCGGGTGTATTATGAATGCTTGCATTCGAGAAAAGAAAAAGTCGTGATTTTCCTTGCATAACAATGTATGTTTTTGCCTATGCAGTCAAATGTTAAATTAGAGAGTGATATGCAGTTATAAAATGTAATACTTAATGACATTATTTCATAAAAGGATAAAAATTTGAATGAAATTTAGCACAAGCCAATTTTTTGCCATTTTCAAATAAATACGGTCAAAAGTCATTAATTCGGACACCCATAATCCGGACCTCAAAGCTACAAACGTTCTGCGCATGCATAGCATGCGTGTAAGACCTTTACGGCTGCGAATATGCGTGTGCGCATGTGCATAATACGTTTACGCATGCGCGTTTAATGTATAACGGACAGTATAAGGTAAGCTAAAATTATCTAATTCAGTTAATGTTGCAGATTGCGTTGTTCCATAATCTTCGAATTGGATCCGGCTTATTATTTTTTGCAGACTGTTAGAGCAATTAAGCTTGAACTTTCGATTATGTCAAATAGAATTTCCGATATGTATTTACTAATATGTAAAGGATCTACAAAGCGAAAGTATATTTCGAAGTCCATTAAACGAAATGTGGAATTGCTGCACAAAAAGGATAAAGGCATATCCTTCGTTTCTCTAACCATGCTGAAATCTGTTTATCAATTTCACGCCTCTCTGCAGGGGGGGGGACACCACGGCCCGCAATGAATTGGGAAGTTGATCTGTCATCACTATCCTTATCTCCAAGGCAGATGCTTTTATTTTATTTGGCTTATAATTCCTTACTAAATATAGTATTTCATCTCGATGTACTCTGTCTTTGATATGATTTAAATCAAATTCCTCATCATTATAATTCGCTTCCAATAGTGAAGAAAGTGACACAGAGGTTATTGAAAACGAAAAAATTTCGATTGACAAATTAGTCGGTATTCTCGACACAGCAATTATAGGACTTGAACAGCAGGAACTTTGTAACTGAACAAGAAATTATGTCTGTTTATAGAATTAAAGAGAAAGTATTATCACATAAAATGAAGCAACTTAAACAACTTACATTGAAAGAAATGTTTAATAAAGTAAGCAAATAAATATTAAGCTTTTTTTTTTTTTTTTTTTTTTTTTTTTTTTGTTTTGTTTGTGTGTAAAATTTGATACCCTTTAGATCATAACTGCTCTTTATTTCATAAATTACGGTTTCATATTTTTAATTTTATAATTTCTGTATGCCGTCTTACCAGATTTAAACTGATGATCTATAATCCGGAATCGACGAATTCTCAACGAGCCCGGATTAACGACTTTTGACTGTAGTAATTTCTTCCTTTGGCTGTTGAGGGTTTTTATTAAGTAAATTTGATTTAGTCATCATGGCAAAAGTGCTATAAAACAAATATATGATTGATGGCTGTAGTAAATGTATGAAAGAGGGTTGATTGTATTGATCAACATCTCAAATTTTACTCTGTATTGAAGAATAAAAAACAGCTTTAAATCAGTGATAGCAAATCTTCAAAAAGAACAATTTTGGCATGTGAATAATCTTTCATACAGTGCACTTTCTTCATACTGTGATTTAAAATGAAGATGCCATAATATACCAGCTTCAAAGTAGTTCAAGCTTTTACAGATACTTCTAGTATAAAAATTTTTCATGGAAATTTTTAAAATTTCATTATTATTTAATAGGGCTATGTTTTCATTTAGTTCTGAACAAATCATTCAATAACATAAGTAAAATTGCCGAAAATGTAACAAAAATATTTAAGTAGTTTATAGTACTGAATAAAATTAGGGCTGTTTTTTTCACTGTTTAGAATGATGGGCCATATAAGAAAGTATGCTCTTGCTGCTTGTTAATCAACAAATTCTTGAATCGAAGTTAGTATTTTTAGGAAGAACTGTATGAAATGGACTTAATGAAATATTCATTTTTCTGTAGTTCTGTTATGATGAAGAATACACTGAATATTCTAGACACTTACGTAAGCAATGGTAGGATTCTCTCGGTTCACACTAGTTTGACAGAATAGCTTCCTAAGAGAGTTTTTAACTCGGACAACCAGTTGTAAAGATTGATCTGTAGTATTAATTTAGGTATTTATTTACGAATAAACCTGCTTAAGTAAAATAAATAGATACCACGGTAATTGATAATTTTATTGCTTGTTTAGTGAACTGTTCTTAAAAATTTTAGAATCCTATCTATTGTGACAAGCATAGCTTTTAGCCTAAAGCAACACCTTTCTGTTGATGGACATATTTGCTGACTATATAGTCTTAAGTAATGCCACCAAATGTATGAATATATAGCTCATGAGATTGTTATGCAAATCTTAGTATGAATTAAGTATTTTGATTCTATTAATGCATTCCGATGTAGTATACAACTTATTTTATACTATCCAATTACCATATATTTAAATATTAATTGCAGATTTGAGTAATGGATTAATAAGAAAAGGTAGAAAATATTTTATTTTCATTTTCTTTTAATAGATGATGAGCAGCTTGGTGGTTTAAGCTCCCTTATAAACACTTCTGGATCTGCTACAATTCCTGTATCATCTGACTGTGTCAATCTGCCTATCTCTTCAATGGCACAAAAGAGTATGAAAACGATTTTGAAGCCACCAAAAAAGAGGTATATTGTTAATGGAGAGTTCAAGTGCCATTCAGAAGTTTCACCTGTTGATGACAGAGATTATCAAACGCAGAATGCATGTTCAGCGTTGCTGGAACTTGCAGAGGTTGGTGAAATAATGAATGCCTAATTATCTTCTGCCAAATTATATTACTATATGCTGTTATGCTCTTGTATACAAGATAACAAATTCTATGGCTTATCACAAGTATGTGAAACTACCAATAATACTACATTCTAAATACATATGCGATATTTGTGCAGCATACTTAAATAAAGTTTAATTAATAATTATGCATAGCAAGCAGTAGACAGCATTCAATATAATAATAATAAAGTACACTGTATATTATCGTCTACGTACACAGTATGCTTTCTTTCTGTTGTGGCTGAGTGTGTTTCCCAGTGGCTAAGTGTTAAGACCTCTGAATACAGGTCCACCTGTTTTAGGTTTGAAACCTGGTGAACAGGCTGGTGCATAGTGGCTTCCATGACTTTTTCTTGTGTAACATGAATACAAACCAGTTTCCCTCAGAAAATCTTCCACAAAGGCATCCCTCTTAAGCAGATAGTCTAATGACTTCACATTCATCTCATATTGGATCCCCAAATACTGACACTGCAGTCTAATGGCTTATTAGACTATAGCCATATTCAAATAATCAAATAAATATAAATACTGTACCTGTATAATATGTTATAAAATACAGTTTTGAGGGATGATAGCACATGCCTTACCCTCAAAACATTACATTAAACATGAAACAATGGATCTGAGCCATGCATATAAGCATACATATTGTCTTACTTGAAATTAGTGCAGAAAAGCAGTGTTTGGGTTGATATACCTAACCTATTTACAGCATATGCGTTTCAAATTCTCTTTTTCAATTTATAAACCATTTTTGACTTTAATCCTCAAATTGATTGGGGCCACTGTGGGGCAAATTACAGATGCTGATTGTGTAAATGTGGAGGAAAGGGGATGTGTCTAGTGGCTTCCTTTCCTTTAAATTATGTGATTTATCTGTGATTACAAGAACTCCTTTCTGCTTTAATCTTTAAAATTTCTGTAATAATTGTGTTTAACTTCTATAAATAATTCTGCCAGAACTTGGAAGCATCATTAATTGTTAGTTCAGTTCATGGTTATTATATATATATATATGCTTCCACTAATCCCTTCATTTGTTTTACATTATTTCTGCAGGTTTTGTTTTTAAATTTTAAGAATATTTCTATGTAAATCAAATTCTGTTAATATCCAGTGGTGGAATCATTGCTCCCTTGCTTCTTATTTTATACAGTGTTGTTTCCAGTTAGTTACATATCTGTATTTTTTAGTCAGTTAAGGAGAGTTTTATCTTATCAGATGCTGGTAATTAATGAAATGAAAAAAATTTCTTTTGGGAAGATTGCAGTTTGTATATGTAATGAACTGTGGATCTCGTACTGAAATATAGGCTTGGATTTTACTCTTATATGAATTTTGTTATTTTCAGTTCAGTCATAGTTAAGAAATATTAGCCTTTTTAAGTGTATATTCAAATATTATATTTCACAGAAAAGAGAAATGTCATTGATTTAATCATTTAATTTTTAAAATTGTTAAAGATATCAAGATTGCTATCTTCACATCACTCAACTATAAAAATATAAAGTCGCACACCACATTTGCCTGATAGCTAGTTGTGACATTGATTTAGGCTTTTGTATTAACTGACTATAAGTCATGTTAAAGTTTTAATTGATCTTGCAGTACATGAAGTTAAGTTGACCATAAATATAAAATGTATAAACTATATGAAATATTACTTATAGGATTTTAGAATCTTCTTGACCCCACCTAAATAACCTCATAAAATTATTAGTGCAGGATATTTTATGTAAAATTATTATGCATGCATTTCCTTCAAAATAAGATTTTCAGATTTCTGTACTTGATTAAAAAAAAAAAAAAAAAAAAAAAAAAAAAAAAAAAAAAAATGTTAAAATTGATTTTTCTAAAATTTTGCATGGTTTTATTTACAGAGTTTTACTCTATTCGTTACAGTCACATTGTTAAGTGCTAACTATCTAGTCTTCCTTAAAATTAAGTAGTTAAAGGCTAGAATTCCTTAAAATGTTGTAATTAAGATTAGAAAGGCACTTCTAAGTTTTCCTAAGCATTTTTTATTTCAAGTTTTTTTGATTCAGAGAATAACTGCGGATATTTATTATATGAATTATATGAATTCAAATTTTGCGTGTTTGCATTGAAGTTTGTGGATTTGATGTTCTGCAATATGTAATATTTTGTGATTCATCATTTAAATGTATTTTATTAAATATAGTAATTTTTTGTTAACTCAGCTCAAAATATTGGAAGTTTTTTTTTTTTTAAAATCTAATATGGCAGATTACAAAGACAACTGTAGAAAGAACAAGTAAAGATGAAAGAGAACCTCAAAACTATATAATCTATAAATCTATTTTTTGTCTCGCCTCAAAATATCTGTCCCATAGTGATCTAGCATCTAGCATTAAGTTATATTTTTTCATAAAAATACTTTTTTAGATAATGATAAAAAATAACCTTTGTTTTTGTTGCAGATATGTACCAGCAGTGCAGCACGGGAAAACTCATCTATTAACTTTGATTCAGATGAACAAGTAAAAGATACAAAAACATATGTTTCATGCGGTGCAATTAAAAATAAGTATTCTATTACCTGTTCCGAATCTTCTGCTAATTCTGCACCTGGGTCTTTGCCATGTCCAGTACTTTGCAGTTTACAGAAGCAAGAAGGAAATGTACAAAATCTGTCTTTCACTTCAGGTTCTAGTAATTCTAGTGATAATTTTCATAACAGGACTAGAAATATTCAACAAGAGCAACCACTTGATTTGTGTAAGAACAAAGGCAAAACAATAACTACTAGCCATCAACAGCTCATTGATCATTTTGTTGATAAATTTTTATGTGATACTCCTGCATCTCAAAGCAACTATTATAAATCAGCTATTATTGATCCTGCATTTTGTAAAATGTTGTCAGAAAAAAGTGCCAGCGACTGTTCAACTTCCAAAGATGGTAAGACTAACCATACTGCATTTACTTTATCTGTTGCTATTGAATCTGCAGTAGATAAAGCATATAGCAAGGATTTTTCAAAATCTTGCAATTCAAATGTGCCAGAATCTAGTGCAATTGTTGAACATATCACAAAAGATGACTGCAAATTTAATGTGCAGATGGAAACAGACATCAGTGTACTTGGAAAATCTCTTGTCTGTGATGATGAAAAGGCATCTAAATCAAATGAAGCAAAAATAGAGAGTACACAAAGTTTTGATAGTAAAAATTTGAAAAACTGTACAGATTCAGCTCCTTCGGGGAGCATAAATAAATTATCTAGCAATCAGGTATCTAAATCAGAATCAAGAATGTGTTCTGAAGTCACCGAAAACAGTAGTAGTAAGTTTTTTTGTAAATTAGTGTCACCTCCAAAGAAATCTCGTGTGTGGTGTAACATTTTTATGAATGAACAGCTAAAAAATAATGTTGAGAGCAACTCTGGTGTTGCCTGTGGTGTAGTATCTAATTTAGCATCTCCAGCAAGACGGAGCTCTCAACGAACTTGTAAGGGTCGGCGATATCAGGCACTTATAACTGAGGGTCTTTTGCAATCATCCAAGGAACGGAAAACAAGCAATAATAGAAAATCTGTTCCTTCTAGTGAAAAGGTAAAAAGTAAAAGCAACTCAGTTACTGAAAATAATGTGTTCCCTTTCTCAAAGAAGAAAAAGAAAAAAGAATACACAGACAAAAATAAAAGTAAAAGAAGTGAAATACAAGAATCAGGGGAAAGGTAAATTAGATTTTATTTAATGAATGTTTCCATTTTAGGGAATTAAATATATTTAATTTTTAAATATGTTGTTTTTTCAGCAATGTGTGAAGTATAAGTAGTGTGCTCTTTAACCTTTTGAAGTTGGAGATTTGAGTCCTCTAAGATTGTTAAAAAGACGGCATTTTTTGTACCTTATGCTTTTTCCTTTTTAAGAAGTCCTTTGCTGTTGTCAACAATGGTATTTTCAGATAGTTTGATTCATCCTGAAAGAAAAACTTTTTTTACCAAAGGAAGGGAAAACTAGGGATTCTTCTGTTTATATAGTTTTCCTTGTAATGGGATAATCTAAAGGTGCAGTTGATTCCAAATCAGACTACTGAGTGATACACAGAAGGGAATATATGTGTAATATATATCGAGAAAATGCAATTATATTTCTCCATATTATAGCCCATACCTTTCTTAAAAAAAGGTGTATGAGATTTTAAGTAGTGTTTTTAATTTATCTTAATAGACACATGCTAATTATAACTCATGTTAATAGACACATTTACAAGTTTTAAAAATGTGTCTTTGAAATGTGATGTTCATTTATGGTTTTATTTCAAAAAGCTGTGAGATTTTTTACTTTGAATGCATTGCCATGTGTTGATATTAGCTAGAGTAAACTGAATCCATTCAGTGTCATTCATTATATACTATTTCTTTTGTACTAAGTTTTCCCATACAAGTGTTTAATTGATTTTTGAGTTAATCTGCAGGTTGACTAACCAGGTTTCAGCACAAACTATTTCTTAGATATTTCTAGTATTTCATTCTAAACATTTGCTGTCCATGCTGTTGCTCAGGGATTGCTAAGCTGTGCCTCATGAGCTACATGCAACTCTTTGATAGTGAAATGCTCCTCACATTGTAACAAGTGATTTTTTTTAAACATAATTTAAAACAAGGCCATGCTACAAATACTATTTTTAGCAATTCAGTAATTTAAGTCAACTAATGAATAAAAGGCAAATAATTACATTTCTGTGATTTATTACTGTGGCGTCAATACTTTTGAATGAATTATTATATGGACAACAGAAGACAAATACATTTGCTAGGTGCTACATTGATAATCTAATATATCTTTTTGATGCTAAGTTTTGCTAAATGGAATTTATAATTATTTCATATTTCAAATTTCATTTTCTGTGCAATGTGTGCTAATATGTTTTTTCTAATGCAGATAAGAATTTAATTAAAATCACTAGTTCTCTTTTTCAGATTGGTGCACTATGTTATTCAAATGCAAACTTTTTACATTACTCCAGAAAGTACTACTTTTCCTTTCATTTTCAGGCTGCCTCTATTAAAATTATTTAGCAGTGAGAAATGAAGGGAGTGGAAAACAGAAAAAATGCTTGGTTGTGTAACTGAATAATAATGGCAGACAATTTTTTAAAAAGTAGATTCTGTTAGAAATATTTTAAGAAAATGTATCTTTAATTGCTGAGTTGCTAGGGGGGGAGTGTTCAGTAAAGCAAATCAGAGAATGAGATTATACTTCATTAAGACCAGTATTAGAAAGCCCCAAAATGAAAGTATATTTAATGTGTGGAATTATGAAAGACAAATGGTATGGCAAAATCTCAATACTGAACTTCAAACGAAATACCTTACTAATTCATTAAAACATGGTAGAGGTAGCCAAATGGTTTGGGGCTATGTGAATGCTTATGGTATTGGATTTTATTAACAACAAAAGGGATAAATTTAGGTATTTAATTATTTTAACAGAGCACACTAAAAATGGGCATGATGTTTCCTTACACATTTCATCAAACAGTGATTCCTAAGAATGATGCTCGTATTTGGCAACTGTGAATTTTTTATAAGTGATCACATGCGATCAAAATGCCTGTGCAGAGTCCAGATCTCATTCTTTTTCAGCAAATTTGGGATCATTTGCAAGACAAAATTCATAAATTCACTTCGAAAAACTTACCATAGAAGAGGAAATAAATCGAAGCAAATAGCTGTCAAAATCTTGTGAAGTGACTAGTAGACTTGGTGATATTGTAAAAAGGAAAGAATGTTCAACACATTAAAGTATTTTTTAGAGGCTTTCTTTAAAAAAAAGTTTTTGGTGCTCCCAATACATTTTGACTATCACTTTTCACATACACATGAAGTATAAAATTTAATATTTCTTTAATATTGTTTTTATTTAATATTCAGATTTTTCGATTCTGTTTGGGCTTAAGATATGACATTTAAGAAAAGTATTTTAAGTTAAATATTTAATTATTGTTTCAAGAAATCTGAAAACTTGTGGTGCCCTAGTACTTTTGGTTTTCGTTATATAGTGGCAGATCCTGAAAACTCCCGAATGTAACCTTTTTGTTAAAGTTAGACCCTCATGCTCTATTAATTTTAAATGCTAATCTCATTAAACCATAGCTGAAGGATCTTTCCTGTGTAAGCTTTCTTGCTCTTCATTATTTTAAAGCTTATTTTCACCATTTTCTTTTGGCAGTGAATATGCATGCCATTTATTGTTGCAGACATATCCAACAAAATGCTCATATTAATTAAATTAAATTCTACTGATTTATGTTTCAGCAAACAACATTTTGTGATATGCGCCATTGCACAGCAATAATAGCTTAGCAATAGGTGTAGCATTTTTAAAAGAATAATAATAATAAAAAAAAAAGAGCGTTTCCAAACAGTCATTTAGCTTCAGTACCTTAAAACTGGTAGACTGGTCAAAATTAAAAAAAAAAAAAAAATGTGGTTATACATTACAGTAATCTTTAGATCCAGCTAGAAGAAATTTTTTATTATTAAAAAAACCTGTGTTGAAATTCTTTCTTCTTCTACAGTTTAAAAGAAAATGGAAACAGGTTTTGGTGTGGAGTTTTTTTTCAGCCCAAAGGGGTTTCAGTCCTGAAGGACTATTACTTTCATTTTGGCATTTTGCGTCAGACTCCTATAAATGTCAGTTCACTTTTCAAATTGTTGCCACAAAATATTAAGAGTCCTGCATTATATTTGAAGAAATTAAATAATGAAAAATCTGCATAAATGTATGTATATTTCTTGCATTGTGATAAAACAACGGTATCTAGAGCCGTCCAATTATAAATGATGTAATCCTACTGCAAATATGGGCATCTGAAATCCCAAATTTGGAATTTGTTTCATATCGATTTCATAATTATTATTTTTGTAAAGGTTTAACGAATTTTTGAGTACCAAACTCAACGATTTAAAAGCAAGCAATGGCAACACTCTAGGGGGAAAAAAAACTTTTCATCTCCAGTGCATCGAACTGTGTATCGGAAATTCTAAACATGCTAATTTTAAAATTATTTTGTGACATTGCTATTGAACTAAATTTTAATGGTTTAAGTGCAAAGAACATGATATTTAATAAACAAAGGTAACACACAAAACATTAAAAAAAAAAAAAAGAAAGAAAAAAAGAAAGAAAAAGAAAAGGCCCCTTTGCTGAAACATTTCAGATTTTTTTTTTTTTTTTAGTGTTTTGAAAATGACTTGTCATATATGACTTTAAATGCAGTTAAACCCTGATACAGCGAAGCACACTTATAATGAACCTATGGATATAGCAAAATTTTTGTTCCTGTCCAATTTCGTATATACTGAAAGTTATGCTATGTGACTACAGCAAATCTCCAAATGTATGAAAATTGGATATAACAAACTTACTCCCTTTTTTGTATTTTTGAATACAGTACAAAGTCCGTAATCTGGACTCGTCGGGACTTCAGCGATTCCGGATTAGGGGTTTTTCTGGATTATAGATCATCAATTTAAATCTGGTAAGATGGCATGCAGAAATTACGCAGTTAAAAATATGAAATTGTAATTTATGAAATAAAGAGCAATTATTATCTAAAGGGTTCAAATTTTACAAAAAAAAAAAAACTGAATATTTATTTGCTTACTTTATTAAACATTTCTTTCAATGCGCGCATGCTTAAAGCATACATTACACGCATGTGTAATGCACATAATGTGTGCACGCGCATTCTTTATGCGCATGCGTAAAGCATACAAAAAAAAAAGTTTATATCTTTGAGGTCCAGATTATAGATCATTCCGGATAATGGACGTCTGGATTACAGACTTTATACTGTAACACTTTCTTTTTTTAGATATTTTTCGAGAATTTTTTCAAGTTCTGAGAAATTATTATTTCTTAAAATCATCTATATTCAGGATGTAAGATTCCACCCACATTCCTTTGATGTTAGGAAGATTAAAAAAATTAATTTTATTTAAAGCATCATTTTTGTCTGTATTCTCAAATGCTGTGCAAAGTAGGTGTATCACCTAGTTCTTGAAGAACCAGTAGCCATAATAAGTGTATCACAGGCTGCTGTATGGTGTCTGCGATCATTAACACGTTGAGCCCTGTGCCGAATTTGCTGTCCTTTCCGTTCAGCCAACACGAGCGATCAAGCGGTGCAATGTTGCAGGGTGATCCGCAACTTCATGCACTGAGTAGAGCTTATCTGTTGGTGAGCTTTGTCGGCTACCGACATGTCATGCACAGGCAGGGCATACATAGTTGTTGACATAGCTTGTGGTCATGAATGTTAATACTGTCGGTCCTGTGGACTGACGCCAGCCATTTGAAAATTCCATTGCCAGTCCCTATGGACCGACGCTGACCAAACAAAAATTCCAGGGCCGTCCACATGGAAAGTTCACTGTCGGTCCCCAGGGACTGACGCCGGCCACACGGAAAGTTCACTGCCGGTTCCCAGGGACCGGCGCCAAGCTCAAAGCGTTAAGTTAGGCTTGAGTGGTTTCCATGTTGCTATTCAAATTCTTTGACTGATTTATCAAATGGAACTGTGTTCAAGGCTGATGCTGTTATGGAAATTTTAAAATTTTTTATATTCAGGAAGTGAAATAATGAATAGATTCTTGTAAGTTTGAGACTGTACGAGTGAATCATCTTCTAGGGCAGTGATCTCCAAACTTTTTTGACCATGTACCCT